CCTGAGCTACGAGCTCCGAGCCTGAGCTACGAGCTTCGTGCCTGAGCTACGAGCTTCGCGCCTGAGCTACGAGCTCCGAGCCTGAGCTTCGTGCCTGAGCTACGAGCTCCGAGCCTGAGCTACGAGCTCCGAGCCTGAGCTACGAGCTTCGTGCCTGAGCTACGAGCTTCGCGCCTGAGCTACGAGCTCCGAGCCTGAGCTTCGTGCCTGAGCTACGAGCTTCGTGCCTGAGCTTCGCCTGCTTGAAACTGCAGAAAATTAGAAGGTAAGTTGTTTATTCATCATTATGAACCATTGAAAACGTTATTATTTTATGTAATTGTTTGATTGATTGCTGTAATTGTTGACTCATCCAAGACAAAAGTTGATAGGTAACTTGTTTATTCATCATTATGAACTTTAGAAAACAGTTATTTTATGTAATTTAGTATTAATTGAGTAATATTGGTGTAACTGTTGACTTATCCATGACTAAAGTAGATATTTCAGTTAAGTTTGATCATTAGTATAGTAATTTTATCTTTAACCATAGTTAGTCAGTCTAGTATCAGTTCTACTTACAGTCTCATAGATACACTCATAACTTCACCCCCTTGTATTGCCCTATCATTGCCGTATACTATACTCCACTGCAACATTTATTTATTTATTTATTTATTTCCACACACATTATCACTATCTTTACAGGTACTTAAAACCTAATGTACATGTAACATGTTTCGTCTTCGTCGGCTCAGTGACGAGCTCGCCGCGCCTGCTTGCGAGCGTCAGGCCTGAGCTGCGAGCTCTGAGCCTGAGCTTCGTGCCTGAGCTACGAGCTCTTAGCCTGAGCTTCGCGCTCCGAGCCTGAGCTTCGCCCGCTTTAAACTGCAGAAAATTTAAAGGTAAGTTGTTTATTCATCATTATGAACCATTGAAAACAGTTATTTTGTGTAATTTAGTATTAATTGAGTAATATTGGTGTAACTGTTTACTCATCCGAATCTAAAGTAGACATTTCAGTTAAGTTGAACCATTTTAGAATTTTCTCTTTAACCATTAGTTAATTTAGTTAGTCTAGTATGAGCTCTTTATTTAGTCTCTTAGATACATACACTCAATCAATAACTTTCCACCCCCTTGTATTGCCCCCTATCATTGCCGAATGCTTAATCTCCACTGCAACATGTTTCGTCGTCTTCAGCTCATGTCACGTGAGCTCGCCGCACCGGGCTGAGTCGACCTACGCGAGAGCTGCGAGCTTCGTGCCTGAGCCACGAGCTCCGAGCCTGAGCTGCGAGCTTCGTGCCTGAGCTCCGAGCTCGACCCTGAGCGTCCGCCCGCTTCAAGCTGCAGACAACTACGAGAGGCAAGTTGATTATCCATTTCCTAACCTATTCTTCTACTAATATTATATGTAACTGCAAAATTTTGTGAGGATGAATGGATGACTGTTATTAGCACACAAAAACTAGTGATTGCTTGTTACTTTATTCCTTTGTTAGGCTCATTTTAGACAAAATTTTACTATTTTTCATCATCATCTCGGCCACAAGACGTCCACTACTGAACATAGGCCTCACCCAATGCTTTCCATATTGCCCGGTTAGGCCCAGAACAGACGGTGAAACGAAACTGCAACTTTCTGATGATTCTGATGAATGAAACTGAAGGTTTCAAACTGGTCGCGTCATGTGTGGTATCTCAACGGGCGCTATGGCAGAAACTTAGATGCAAATCAAAAGTAACTAGCAGTTGCAGTTGCGTTTCACCGTCTGTTCTGGGCCTTAGTAGCGGCCTGCGTCCAGCGCCTTCCTGCTACCTTCAGGTCGTCGGTCCACCTTGTGGGTGGACGTCCCACGCTGCGTTTTTCGGTACGCGGCCTCCACTCCAGACTCAAAGGCTGCCCCATGAAGGACCAGAAAGGATATTTTCATTTAAATACTTACACTTAAGTAATGATTAAATTGAGGAAGGAATTCAGCTTCAACTTTCACTCAATGCAAGTTAATATGGAATCCTCTAAATTTAGACTTTTAGTATGTATTTATGTATGTAGTAACTATCTCTGTATGAATCCTCAATGAATAAATAAATAACCGTGTTTTTGTTTGCAGTCGGCCCTGCAAGTCGCGCCCAATCGCAGTGTCCTGCCTGCACTAGCCATTGATTTGGTAAGTGGCATTTATATACTTACCTTACTACATAGTGCTCATTATTATGCAACCAATATCAACTGAATAAGCAAAATTACATATTTTACTCATAAATATTATAGAAGGTGACAAATAACATCATTATGTGTGTTTCATACAATATGGATACGTTTAATGTATAATGAATTATTTAAATAATATATTTTCATTTATAAAATTTGTAGCCATTCATATCATTCCTTCCAACACTTGTCCTTTTACTCTCCCACAATTTCCATGCCTTATGTTGTTTATTATGTAATGTATCCTCAAATCCCTCTCCTACGAACATTCCCGCGTGTTATTCCTATGTATTTATGAATATTTTAACTCAAAATTTGTTATTAATTTCAGGTATTATATTCAGGTCATGCCCCAGCTATATTCTCACATTTGATGCCAATGATTTTATTTATTTATTAATAAATATAACATTATACATAATATAATATAATAATTTATTAATGTGTATCTATTTATTATGACTTTACCCAAATGAGAAGCTTTTATGAATGTCAAATGTAATTTGCATTCGCGATGGTGTTTTCTGCCTGCGCGACAAACATGCGTACAGGAATTAGAAAACCACGTCTTTGGTGGAGTGAAAGGTTAGGTATAAAACTTAAATTAAGGTTATTTGACATCAAATCCGTTGTTTTCATATGGCTATTTTTCTCGTGTTATGGATTTAAATAGAATTTTAACTGCTTGTTGTAATAACACTTCAGCTGGCTCCGGCTCGCGTGGCCGTGGAGCCGACGGCGGAGCAGAGCACCTTTGGCGTGGCGTGGCAGAGCATCGTGGGCGTGGCGTGGCAGAGCTTCGTCGGCGTGGCAGTGCATCGTAGGCGTGGCGTGACAGCGTACAGCATTTGGCATAAGGATAACACTAAAAAGGTATTTATAGCCTGCGTTTAGCTTGGCAGGGTATCTGGTCAGCTCCGCTACCATGTTACATGCAATGCGTTAACATGTTAGTGGGTTTTTAACAATTTATCGCTGTCGGTAATTTCATTCGCGTGTAGTTAAAAACTTAGTCAATCCTGTAACCCACCCGCATTCCACCTATTGACTACTCTCTACAGAAGCAACAGTACACTCCTCATATTCTTAGTACATTGCACATACACTCAGTGTTACTGCACGGCCGGCCATGACTCATGCGGCGCGGGAGCACTGCCCCGCCGCGCCTCGAGCAGGCGCTCTGGTCCACGTGGAGCCCTACGGCCCTAGCGGCCGCAGTCCTGTCTGTGGTCTCACAGGCCAGTCCGGGCTCCAGTAGTCTGGACTGTGGGGCTCCCGCCTTAGTGGATCGGGCGCTGTAGACTAAACACAAACTCAATACGATCGGCATACATGCATACCTTTCACCTATTGATTTATTTTACCCCTCCTAGCATCCATCCCTAGCATCCATCCCTCATTGCAAGACAGCCCTCTGTTGAGTGTTTTTGTGATTACGCTCAAAGAGGACAAGCGTCTTCTTTTTTTGTTCCCTTCCATTCCCTCTAATACTATTTTAGTCAACTTGTAATTTGATTTGCGTCTTCCGTGCTAGATATTTTTCTTTTGAACTGAAGAAATACAAAACTGTTTTATAAACCAAGACAAAGTACATTACATATTGTACTATGTCTTGGACTATAAACTGGAGTTTTCTTACGTATGAGTTAGTCAAAATATATTTTTTAAAGTATTATGTGCCTACATAAATGAGATAGTTTTAAGTTTACGTTATCAAAAAGTTGTTTGCGAAAACAAGTGTTATTTTAACTTTTGAAACGGAATCATTGTAAACATTTTGATACCATAATACCTCGCCAGCTATTCGTTTCTTTTAATTATTTTTCTTAATATCAAATCACTTAACCTGGGTTACATTTGTGACTCCCCCAACCATATTAATTACTATCTCCTTTAACCACTATATCGGGTCATCACGGACATTATTTGTGGTAACAAGATTTGTCGTGATTTCCAATTACTTATTTCGTTTCAAGACAGTCTCGTTTTGAGACAAATTATCAAAATTTAATGCGTCATGGTAACTGACCAAAAGATCCTTTGAATAATATCAAGGTCTAATGATGCGTTACTAAGACCAAAGACTGCAAGGCCTCATGCCGTAGTCTTTCTCATTGATCGCATGCATGTTGCTAACTACTCCATGCCACTACCCACCAAAGGCCTGGTTGTCTTTTCCGCGAAGGAAATGCGTCAGTCACGCAATCTTCCTGCTTGGGCACTGCCATAGGCTGTGGCGCTGAGATCTACTAAGATCGCGTAGACAATCAAGCTGTTATCATATTATTAATCCATAATTTATCAGAGCTATCAAAACCCCACATGCCTGTATTCACAAACTTTACTATGAGGTCTCACAGTGCGCGTGGACGCACAGGTTGATATGAACCAATCACAGAGCTCTATTCAAAGCTGCGCGTTCGATTTGCTGCTTCACGCTACCGTCGTTTGTGAATACGAGAGCTTAGTCTCTCGATTGGCCCACTTCACGTGCGTGTAGTCCATAACCACTGCACAGAATATACAGATGCAGTACGGCATCACAGGATACATTTTTGAAGAACAAAGCTAACTCGCACTGAGTGCACATTGCCGCGGGGCCTCCCGGCTGCTAGCAAAGCCTGCATTCATTTCCGTAGGTGGAGACAAACGTCCTGCCTCCACGTCTAGAGGATAACACAGGTATGGCGCATAGCCAGCCATAAATACTATGACGTGCGTAGTGCATGTTGAGTGACGGTACAGATCACAAATGATGCTACATATTTATTTTGGAATCTACTTTTTGGGCCATTCGCGGTATCATAAGTAAACCTCATAAGTACACCAATAATTGACTGTAATTATTGTCTAATCTCTTCAAAAGCGATAATTTTTTTTGTCTGTACTATCGGGGACTCGGACGCCTTGACACCTTAAGGGCCTAAATTGTTTGCACACACACGCTCGATTATGCTCCGCCCCCGTTCATTCATGTTTCGGGTCGAAGCAGCGTCGGCGCACCACTGTAGATGTTTGCCCTAGCAAACCAAGCTCTATGTAAAGCGTTTAGGATTGAGTATTGCTTATTACCTGCTTACCCGCACCCGTAGCGCTCGTTTGGCAACGTCGCATTTTAGTCAATTTGAAACCCAATAAAGAATCGCTACAAAATATTATATGAGGCTTCGTGTAAAATTTGAACTAGCGATTGCCCGCTCGGGTCACAAAATTGGTATCGCACATTCCGAGGTAACTGTGCAATTTCCTGAGAAAAAAGTAGCCTTTTCTATAATTATTCTTGATATTAAGAGTGTAAATCTCATGATATTAGTTTAGCTAGTTAAGGCGAGAAATACAAAATCATACAGTTACTTTCGAATTTTACTTATTACAATATGTTATTGAATTAATTAGTAGAGTTAAAAAATATTTGTGCCTTAAAAACAATTATTTTAAGATCTGGCTACATAATAACTTTCTTAAATCCTTGAATGTAAATAAAACCTTAATAGATTTC